CTTTCTTAATACTGGCTTCCAATTGATCTCCAGCTTCTCTCTTCTTGCAACCTCGGCATGTTAGTAAGTGTTTCAGTTTTCTTGTGCCTTACGAGGTTGTTAGGTGGAACATTTATTTAAGTGGCCTAACGTTTCGACTCAATCGTCGTCTTCAGAGGCCTGAACGTGTTTCAAGTATTAGATTTGCAACCTACCCCACCAAGCACCTCGTCTACTCTAGCGGTTCCGACGTCGTGTCAGGCCCCTCGAGAAGACGCCAACATCGCAAGAAACAGATCACCAATGTTCCACCGTTTAAGCGGATAGGTCCGCTGCCACACTAGAGCTAGGTCCGCTGTTAGTAAAAAATGAACAACGTTGTCTCCGTATATGACATATCGAGGAGACGCACGTCACGCTCTGTCATTCTACAGTCCGCAGTGGGGTATAAACGGTAGTAGGTCATTTGTGATGGAAGGACACTCATCTCGATTGTTCATTCTGGGTTTTCTAGTGAATATCCAGAATGCTTCCAACGCTTTCCTGGCTGAAAGTTCCGTCTCATTTGCCAGCACGGTGCACTTTATTTCGAACTCGGTCCCATTATGTTCCACAACCTTATGCCTCCCGAGAGCAGTTGTAAGGGTACCGCGTCTCATGCTAGCAAGGTGTTCCTTGATACGAGTAGCCAAAAGCCTTCCTGTTTCCCCAATATATGTGGAGTTACATGCCCGACACTGGATTTCATAAATTACTCCCAATTGCGCACAGTCACCAGTCTTCCCGTGTGGGCAAGTAACACAATTTTCTGATATGCACTGCTTATCATAGAGTCTGTTACGGACCAGCTGCCGTTTGATGTTCTCATTTGGTATATTTACCAACTGAACATCGTCCTGCAACTGGGCCCTTACTATGCTCCGTTTTATTGCAGCGCTGACCTTATCGGATATGAAGGGATGCACAGGGGTATCTTGTTTCGACGTGGTACTTCTTGTGGGCCAATATGCCGCCTTCGTCTAGGGTATGGTGCCGTATAGCCATTCATGACGGCTATTTTCTTGGCTAGCTCTCGCGATTCGTTTCGTTCTTCATCTCCCGTGCACATTCCCGTTGCCGTTCGAAACGTTACGGACGACAGCGCGTTACAGCAATCGGGTGTGCTGATGTAGTGTGAACCAAGGTGGTTTACGAGTAGCTTTTATAGCGGCTCCATTTTAACCTCGAAGTGATGGCGATTGGATATCTTCACCAATTGTGTGCGTGGAAGAAATAACAGCCACGACAGTTTTGCGGAGTTTCTCGCATAAGCTTTATAATTTGCATAGTGACGTGCTCGATAATCATCACACGAGAAAACAAACAATGCCCTTTTTCGGGCCTTATGTTTGGATGTTATTGGAAGCGAGTCAATCTATAATAGGCTACAGTAACATTGCAGAGGGGCAAAGCATTTCAGCACCGGTCCTTCCCTAGTACTCCCTCAGCTCCATAAAGCAGCACTGCAGAGAACTGGCTGCAGGAGGCTCTCCACCCCTGCAGTCCTTTTGGCCTGGTTTTCGAGAATGGATAGGATAATCCCCACGCGTGCCGCATTTAAAGATGTTAGCAGTTCGAAAAACATGCGTTGAGATTAGAGCAGTTATGTGTGCTTAAAAACCAAGTCCAAGCAAGTGTCGTCAATACCTAGACGCGCCTGGACGTGCGTCTGCTCCCATAATTTGGGAAAGCATAGCGGGAGAAGACCCCAAGCCAGTTGCTCATGGTTTCCCTGAGCTAAGCTCTCTCGCAGTGTGAGCCTATGCGGAAACCTATCCGTTTAAAACGTGAAACAGACCGTTGGTGAGTACTGTATTCTTGCGATGTTGGCGTTTATCCTCCAGGGTTTACCCTGACACGAAACGTTCGGAAACGAATAGCAAGTAGACGAGGTGCTTGGTGACTAGGTTGCAAAATATAAAATATCTTCGGTGGGCGCTCTGAAGGATGACGAATTAAGTCAAAACTTCAAGGCTTCGAACTGGATAATCAAATATTACCACCATAAAAACGCTACTGAGGCGCCCGCACAAAGAGATCCTTGAAACGATCGTTCCTGGCTTCCAAAATCTTATCATAATGAACAGCTATGAAAACACCTCATTCGTGGGGCCTTCGGTGACGTGAGCGGTTAACCCCTGTCCTCCAATGAGCACTAACAAACGGTGAGTTGTCGACGAGACTTTTTTGAATTTTTTTTTCGATTTTGGCATTTTGATACTATGTGATCCATCCTACTGTGTTAGAAGTTGACAGGCACTGTCAACTTCTAACTCAGTAGCATAGATCACATAGTTTGTCGTGTTGATTGAGACATATTACGTTTTTAAGAAGTATTACGGTGTAGCATCACTGATGTCGAGTATTCAAGGCATATGGCAAACAGAATACATCTAGTCTTGTTCACTGTGGATACTGGGACAGTAATGGGATGTGCTTGATACGAGGCCAGCTAGTTCTGCACCATTTGTGGAAGCTGGCAAGGGATCATAGTTGGGGTATGAACATGGCTTAAGAAAATTTAGGTTCACCACCGGGTCTCAATCTCATTTCTAACTTTGACTTCCAATCTTATCACAATGAATAGCTATGAGAGCAACGCATTCATGGGGTATCCAGTGACGTGAGCGGTTAACCCTGTCTTCCAATGAGCACTGTCGAACGGTGAATTGTCGATAATATTTTCAAATTTTTTTCATTCTGTACAGGTGGTGCCGAGTTCTGGTCCAGTAGCATGGATCATATTTTCGTGTTGATCGATGCATATTACGTTGTGAAGGCTGGTGTAGCATCATTGATATGGTCATTCAAGCGTATGGCAAGCAGAATACATAGTATGGCAAGCAGAATACATAGAGTCTTGCTCGCTGTGGATACTGGGACGGTAACGGGATGTGCTTGGCACGAGGCCTGCTGGATTTGCACCATTTATGGAAGCCGGCAAGGGACCACGGTTGGTGAAGAACTGGATTCCATTGGTGGAAAGCGAGCTCCATATCATGAGAGCCCCATTTGTAAACTTTCGCAGCTAATTTCGAGCATAGTATGAGTGCTCGAACCAGAGCACGGAGGATGAAAGAACAGAGGTGATGACTTTGTACTCATCGTGGGCTGTACGTTTACAACATTACTAAGCCCAGAAACAGTAACATCATCATGTGAGCTAATCGTAGGTGGAACAGCCTCCGCTGTAGTCTTCAATGAAATGTTCAAACGGACAAGCGGAATGCTCATCGGGAGTTCCTCCTCACTCCATCTCTTTGTTTGTGCTATCCTTGCGTTGTTACTTTTACTCGATGAGCACTTTCCAGTGAATTATGACTGATTTTGCTGTTGAACTGCTGAAACGAACACCACTGGAGGGGAGCATAGTAATGTCTCTCTCTGTCCATGGTGGCTGCACTTTCCGTTCTCGAAAGAGGAGCTGGCGGTGATACGAAGAGTCAAATTGCTGAAGCACTGAAAAGGAGTAAGCAACTTTTCACTCTGTCTGTTAGAAACACTAAAGGCAGGAAATCTGCAGAAGCAAAAGTCAACTATGAATATCAAGAACGCCGAACGAAGCAGCTGCTGCTGTGGCATCAAGCGCAGAACCTGCGATCAGATGTTTTAGGTAGGTTGAAATAGTGCTGCTAAGGTGCCAAGAAAGTCTACGGTCGGAAGAAACTAAAAGTAAAAAAACCCTAGCGAGAGGACTTGGAAGAGCAGAGGGACAACAGGAGGTACTGAGTGGTGATCTCGTCCAAAAAGTGGTGTGATCGGAAGGGATCACCGCACAGTGGTGTTCCGGCCAATGTGGTGCCACAATCGGTCCCAGCTGATTCTTTACTGATAACAATGCCCTTGATTACATTCTTTGGCAGGTATCCTTTCAGGCTGGGTAAAGCGGTGGGCGGACCAATGAAGGTGGGTTGTCAGTGAGATAAACGAGCATGGGAGCCTTTGTCAGCAGCTTCTGCGCTGCGAAAGTGGTTCAACCGTTACCAGTTCGCGTCCAGCTGCCTGCCGCGGAGGAAGAGCAACTTCGCGGAGTGCGCCTCTAATCTTTATGGCTGGTTGCAATATGTGGATATTTCCACAAATTTAGCTTATGTGTGCCCTATCGTAGAATAGCCCTTGCCGAATTGAGGGGTTCTGAAGGAGCTCTCGACGGAAGAAACGAGCCGGCTCTCAATACTATATAAAACATCCACTTGGCACCCAACCACACGACAAAATGACCGGGCGTTTTGCATATGATACGAAGCCCTCGTTATACTCTGCAGAATGCATGCGCCGCGCATGCAGATTACCATTTGTATATTGCCAGCATGAACATGAAGAAGGAATCCGGATGTCTCTTACTACACTGGTAGTATCACCTTGATCGCCCGAGGCTGCGTTCATACTTTGCGTACACGGGGGAATCGGCACTGTAGGAGAATCAACGCACGTTCGAACTATTTATTATTTGCAGCATCTGACATAGACGTGCCAGAGTTGATTCGACAGCTGACAGCAGCCGATGGGGTTCTTATGGCCGTTGCGACAAAGCTCTACCTCGATGAGTGTAAGACACCTTCTTCATCATCACGTTTTCAATACATTATGACATCTTTTCGCATTCCTTTGTGAGATAGGTTTGTTGGTACGGGAATTGTTGGAAACGATCATTCGGGTCGCTAGCTCAAGTGAAGGCGCATGTATTTATTTAGTGACTCAGATCGACCCTATCCTACTATATATAATTCGCTAAGTATGTCTGTGTGTGTGCGTCCGTCTGTTTGTCACGAAATTCATAGCGCCGGTCCCAGTAGCAGTGAGACATTGGTTCCAAGAAGTGATGTAGGGGTGTGACGGGAACACTATTGGTGGGTGACAGGAAGTGATATCAGTTGATAAGATTCGATAAGAGGCGTTAGAAGGGGAGGTCACCATATTCATAACGCGGGTGACAGCATCAGCGAGGCGTTCATTTCAGCAAGTGATATAGAGGGTGAGATGGGAACATCAACGGTGGGTGACTAGAAGCGATAACTACTGATAGGGGCTGATAAGAGACGTTGTCGTCGTCGCTGTTCAAGGCGGTGCAGCTTTTACACTACCAAATTATAAGGATTTAGTGATAAGGACATTGATGACGGGTGACAGGTAATCATATCATTCGATAAGAATGGATAAGATACCATCTGCGCTACATTTTTATCACTTCTTACCGCTTTAATGCCGAGTATTAGAGGCTCAGTGTGTGAACACTTTCCTTCGATGTTCGATGTAAGGGATCAAGGTCGTCTATTGAAGTGTCTGCTATTAGATGCGTGAAATGGTGTCGGGAGGGCGGTGGGGGGGGGGGGTAAATAGTCCGGCTAAAACGGGAAGATTGAGCAATTCACCAATTTTCCAGAAATTTGTCTGTTTTATGATGCGCAATGATGTGTTAGGTGGTGAAGGTCGCAACTGAAGCAAAATAAGGAGGGAACCCAACAACTGGGAGTGGGGACGTTTGATCGGTGGTAACATTCGAGCTCTCCGTGCGACACACACTTTGACGTGTACAACAATGTGAAATTCTCCTTCTCAGTGCCACCTAAAATCCTGCAGTTATGCCTCTTCCGGTTGTTAAGAGCTCATCCGGACTAATTCAGCTTTACCATTCTGATGTCACAC